CTCATGGTGACATCATTGTGAGATCAAATTGTTGACTGGGTTGTGAAAGCAATAAGGGAAAGTGTTACATGAGTCATCGGAGCGGCTGCACATGCTGTCTCGTGCTGTATGATGTGATGTTCTTTAGGCCAGTGCAATCAGATTTTCATTCCCCTTGTTTAATAGACTGATTAATCTCTCCATGAATTACATTTTTGATTAGCTGTTAATGTTGTATTATGCAATACCCAAAAGAGATATGAGAGTGGCTATGCAGTGTAGTCAGCTGTAATTGAACAACAAGCAAACACATGCAGTTACTTTTTCCCTAAAATTTATATTCCATGAGATTTACAAAAGAATCTGCTTTGAGTAAAATTAAAGGCTGCAATTCAGTCATAACCACTTTAAAGTTCATGCATAAAATGATTTCCCCCCTTTCTAAACCTATGGAAGCTTGTTTGAGATGCAGCCAGGATGAAATAAATAGATAAGGTAACAGCAACTTTTTATCTCACAATTCTGTCTTTCTTCTAACAATTTGGAGAGAAAATTCTTTCCAATTCATTTCACAACTCTGACTTTTTCTCAGAAAATAGAGTTTACATCTCGCAATTCTGTTTTTTGTTTCCACCACGGAATGAAAAAATAAAGGTAATTGAAACTTTTTATCTCATAATTCTGACCTTTTTTTCTCATTATTTGGAGACAAAATTCTCAGAATTGCGAGATATAAACTCGCAATTCTTTCTTGTAATTCCAAGTTTATATCTCACAATTCTGAGTTTATTATAGATGTGAGTTATAAACTCTCAATTGTGAGTTAACATCTTGCAATTCTATGTTTACATCTTACAATTCTAACTTTTTTCTCAGATTTTGAGATGAAAATAAAAAGATAAAAAGCTGATAACTGATAAATGGCCTTTATTAATATTATTTAAATTTTTTTTTTTTTTAAATGTATACTACTTGTTTACATAAATGAAAGATAAAACACAAAAAACTAAAACCAAATTTTAAAAGTCAATTTATTCATCACAATATTATAATAATTGGTATGAAAATGGACATTCAGCCAATAAGCAATATTGTACAGATTTGTGCATCCCTAAAGTACAGTATATGATACTACTTTTATCATGTTTTGATATTTTATCATGTCATTTTTTTATGAGTTTGGAACTTAGTCACTATGTACTGTCATTAAATGAAAAAAAGAAAATGTTTCCCATGTCTACAAAAATAATACATTATGTGTAGTATGTAAAATCTAACACCAAATTTTTATTTCATTTCATTTTTCATTGGCTGCCTAATCAGATAAGGCTTTTTTTGGGGGGGGGTCAAGTAATTTATGACAAAGTGAGCTCGATGCGACACAGGCTGCAGCACATCTGCATGTTTCACTGTGCTCTGCAGTGGCCACTCGCGCAGGACTCTGTGAAGCTGCACATCGGCCTCAGAACAGGTGGTGCAAACAGACGGCAGCAGCAGGAAACTGGCTGTCCAGACCAGCTCTCTTTACATTCTCTACAGCCTTCTGATCACCCACTCTCTCTCTCTCCCAGTCATCTGGCAAGAGCTCCAGACACGTGCTCGCTCAGATCAGAAGCACCATATGACAGGGTGGTATCAAATTAGGGGCAAAGACGGAGAGCTCTCACCTTCCTTAAAGGGTTAGTTCATCCAAAAATGAAAATTCTGTCATTAATTACTGTCGTTTCAAACCCGTAAAACCTGCGTCACGCCGGATCTGTTTCCTACGTTGTTGTGATTTGATCTGAACAAAAACAGTGTATCCGTGTGACGCAGCTGATAGAACAGCATACGCTGTTTACGTCCAGCTGATATTCTCCAAAATGGCACCAGGGTGATGCGGAGGAGACGAATTGTTGAATAAAGTCGTTTTTTTTTTTCTTTTGCGCACAAAAAGTATTCTCGTAGCTTCGTATAATTGCGGATGAACCACTGATGTCACATGGATTATTTTACAGATCTCCTTGCTATGTTTCTGGACTTGGGAACATTTCAGTTGCGTTGCTGTCTATGCAGGGTCAGACAGCTCAGATTCCATCAAAAATATCTTCATTTGTGTTCCGAAGATGAACGAACGTTCTTATGTCTTACGGGTTTGAAACGACATGAGGGTGAGTAATTAATGACAGAATTTTCATTTTTGGGTGAACTAACCCTTCAAAGCACTGGATAACAGTATGGTTTGCATTGGTAAGGACTACCTCTAAACAAAACATTTGTGTGATGCATCAATTATTTCAAAAAGACTGAAAACCCAACTGGCTCTGTTCCAAAACCTAGGGAGCTGCCTGCATAGGCAGCATGTAAAGCCTGGTTTATGTATAAGGGTGCACATGCAATAAAGTGACGTATACAATTACATAATTGCAGCACTTCTGGTAATGCACATTGGTCCCCACACTTTACAACTTATTTCTGCATCTGCTCTGAGTTTGGGTTGTTTTAGCATGCATTTGGGAACACAACATGCACCAAACATCGTCCTAAACTTGCAATGAGAAGCGCTTATAAACTGGATGTTGTCAACAAAAGCTTTAAGGGCTTGCTGATTTAAATAAAAAAAATATTTTTTTTTTTTTTACCAAAATTAAAGCTTGTTTTAATGTCTGAAAATGAATAAATGAAGACAGCCATAAGTGTTAGCATTATCATTTTAAAATATTATTATTTTTCTTAAATACTATTTTTTTTTACAATGAAATAACACAATAATAATATATAATTATTTTGTTTCATATTTGTACTTGCACTTAAAATAATTATTATATAATTTTTCTTAAATACTTGATTTTTTTTATTTTACAGTGAAATACTGTATTTCAATAGTAATTTCTTATTAAATTTTTTATTAGTACTTAAAATTAAATATAATTTTTCTTAAATATTTGTTTTTTGTTTTACGTAGAAATATTACAATAGTAATATTAAATTTTTTCCTCATTTTATTTGTACTTAAATTAAAATAATGATTATTAGATTATTATTTTTCTTAAATACTTGATTTTTTATTTTACAGTAAAATATTGTAATAGTAATATTTCTTATTTTAAATTTTTTATTTGTACATAAAATAAAATGATTTCTGTTATTTTCTTTTTTTTTCACCATTATAATCACATTGATATATAACCACAAATGTTGATATATATATATATATATATATTTTAAATTGCAATCACAATTTTTTCACAAAAATCACAATGACTTTTTTCCCCAAATCATGCAGCCCTACCACTGACTTTAATTTTATGGACAACAACTTATTTTGTGTTCCACGGAAGAAAGAAAGTACATACAAGCTTGGAACAACATGAGGGGGAGTAAATTATTTTTGGGTGAACTATATTTAAAAGTGTATGCAGTCTCTCACCTCGAGTTCCTGAAATTCATCATCGTCTTCATCTACATCATAGCAGAGCGTCTGGATCTTGGCGTCTTCCATAGAGAGATCCAGAAGCTTGCTGTCGGTGAACAGAATTCCGTCTTTAGCGACGGCGGAGCCGCACGAGGCAGGGGTCATCTCCTCAATGAAGGTGGTCTCGCAGCAGTCCCCCCCCTCTCCCCATGCTCTCAACACGCTCTCGGGGTACAGAAGGAGGCTGGGTCTGTAGTAATGGTCTATAGCCTGGGGCAGGGCGCTGGGGTTGAGCAACTGTGGGGGTCCTCGACCATCCGGTGTCCCATTTATGTCCTTTGACACCACATGGCCCTGGTACTGCGGGGCAGAATAGACCGACACCAGTCCTTCCTTATTCTCCACCATTAAGTTGTGGGTATTGATCAAACCATTACGTTTGCAAAATTCATGTCCCAAGTCCGCACTCCCCGCTAATGGGGTCTTCCCTAGAGTAAGAGGGTCTTTCTCATCTGCTGCTCCTGTTTCTAGTCGTGTTTGGACCCCTTTCTCCATGCTGGTCTGTTGGTGTGGAGGAAGGCTTGACTCATTAATGGCTTTGTGGAGGCATGAAGTTCAAGTATCACTCCCCGCTTTCCTGCAAGGATCACATCACTCTGGTTATAAAAAATGTGATGGGAGAATCTGATGCCACACACATCAACAAATGTCAGAGTATAATGAAAGTCGTGGAAGAAATATGTTGGTAAAAGGATGTATATCACAAAACCTGTCAAGAGCTCATCATAGTCATATACCCCAGAATCAAGAGAAAGAAAATATAAAATTATATTTTGCTCAAAAGTCTATTTATACGAAAAAAGTCTATTTATATACAATTCATTTTGCATTTGTTCATGTACCTCCCCAATTTTCATTGTACCATAAAAAACAAATTCTTATTATTACTTTCATGTGCATTCAAAAAAATTATTAAATTACAGTCTGTTACACCAAACAGGGTTCATGAGGGAACTGCAGGGGTTTGAAAAGCTATGAAAAGCTAATGATTAATTATATCCAATGTCAAATTAAAATAAATAACAATAGCAAATCAAAGGCTGTGGTTTAATGAACTGTACTGGGGAAAAAAACCAGTTACGTCTAAATTAACTGCATTTATTCAAATATTATAAATATAATATATTATTTATATCAAAAATATTTAATATCACTGAATCAACCTAAATAGATTAATTTATACTACCAAAACTACGTTATATGGTTTTAACATGATAGAAATATCTATTTAAAGTAACAATTGCAATGCAGTTTACAGCATTTCAGCATTATTCTACAAAAATAAAAGAATTTGAAATGGTGAAATATTTAAAGTGAAATGAAAAATTGAATGCATAAATACTGTAATTGGTAGTGTAAAATAAAGTAGGCTATTATTATAATTATTACATATATTATTCAATATTTTTATAAATATTTGTAATTGTAATTTACAAAAGTGATATATTTCTGTCATCATTTTTGAAACTAGAATTAGTTGGACAAATGCCTGATGTTCTACATCTATCAGACATATATTGTAGTCTTCGATAACAACTTCATTTGTTTTTTTCCTCCGAACTCTCAAAAGACCCTAAAATTGTTGTTTCCCAACCATGCGAATGTGGGTCTTATTTAATGCATGGCTAGACCATTGATCGCAGACTCTGCACCACCGCATTATCCAAAACCCTACAGCCAGGTTGCCAAATACACAAACTTTCTTTTCTGCTAAGTTCAGCAGTGTGCCCGATGCTGGGGGCACCTAATGGGTGCACAGCTTCCTATAATCTGATTTAGAGCCTACTGCCATGAGCACAGAGAATCCATCACACCATCAGCAGTGTCCTGTAGCAATTAGATGCTTCAGTGCGACTAAGAAGAGCAGGAACTGTAACGTACATGATCTCGACACACTGGACCTCAGTTTTTACAGTGTTTCTTCAAAATCACAGGGCCACAGGGAAAGACAGATTCATCTAAATTTATCTACAGCTTTAACAAATCAGATGTCTGAATAAGAGTGAATCGGATATCACAATTTAAATCAGTCCTTTAAGGGTAAAGGCATCTGTGAAAAGGATTAGATACCCTAAAGAGCACTGGATACCCTCTAACGAAACATACGTCAAATACGTGAAAACATCAATGCCACATTAAAGACTCCATGAATATAACATTACACCAATATATCAGCCAGGCCATTTAATCAGACAGTATTTCGCAGTTTTCAGATTATCCGCTCTTGGACAGTTAACATGACTGTTTGTTTCCACACTTAGTAGACTCAGTTGCACATTGATACTGACTGAAATTTATGTTGCTGTTTTTGAGTAGCCAAACCATAAATGTTTACAAATGTTTACATAAATGTTATGTAAATGTTTATTTTCTGTTCATTTGATGTTACTTGATTGTATTATGTTATATTATATATCTGCTTTATAAATACCCTTACGAAAAAGAAGTTTATTCAAGTGTGCTATTAGTATACTTCTTTTAAACTAAAAAATAGGAAAGTATACTTTTAGTCTACTTTTTATGTACTTCTCAGAAATATACTTAAAATGACATTTAAGTATACTTGACTTATACTTAGAAAAAGTCTAAATATATTTTAGCTATAATTGTGCAAACTTGAAGTATACTACTTTTTGGTAAGGGTAGCGCCACTGGCCATAGAAAAATCGGTTACAAAAACTGTATCAAACGCATAATTCAAACAGACCATGTTTGAGGTGGTCAACTAGGCTACACAAAACAGCATAGTCAAATTTAAATGACCACCTTTTTTACTAAAACAAATAAATAAACAAATAAATTTAAAAAACAGAAAATGTATTGTTAGTAGACGTTGGAGGAGAATATGAAGTGGAATGACTCAAATCGCAATTTTTTTTTAAATAAATTAATTCACAAGAAAACAAAATCAGAAATTGAATCAACTCTGTCGATTCTAGAACCAGGCATGGAAAACCCGAAATGGATCTCAAGCCCAGCATCACTAATGCTTTGAGCGGAAGGGGAAGGAAAGCTCTCTCTATGACCCTTCACCATTACAGTCATCGTTCAATCAACCTGCGCATCAAGTGAGCTCTGTTTTATGGTCCTGTGCGTAACCCGTGCAAGAATGAGATCAAGGGTGAACTGAGAAAGGTTTCTGTTGCCAGGCTTCAGAAAGGCTGTGATGCGCTGATGCCACCTTGGTGCAATCATTCATTTGCTGTACAAGTTCGTGATCAGACTGATAACTTACCTTCCGAGGTGAGCTGCTATAGGAGTCAGTGAATGTTCAGCTGAACAACGAATAATCTCAATGACTGGTGAAACATTCGAGTCAGATATCCGTCTACACTTTTATTTTTGGAGCTGAGTAATAAATAAAAGTCCAAAGTGTCCAGTTGTTGTCCCCCTTTCGAGAAGTCATCTATCAAGAGTGGGGGGGAAATCACCAGCAAAAACCTTTCATGCGGACACGATGTCGATTATACTGCATTTTGCCAGCCGTTTTAATACGACTGCGGTAAGACTAGTTATAAGCGAAAGGACACATCGAGACTGTTGATGTACAAGCACTATAATGCACTTGCTTTCTCCTCATCTGCGCTCTTTATATGGATGCGCTCGAGTTCCCCTGGGTCCTAAAGATCGCACAGGACAGGACCATTTGTTTTGATTTAAATATTTATTAATAGCTTGTCCTTCAAATTCATACTACAACAACAGCGTACGGTTATATGACTGACAGGTAAATGGTGTCCAGCAGTGGAGTAACTATATTCAGGATACAGCAAGGTCTTATTGCTTTTATAAAAGATAAACCACATAATAAACATTATTAAACTATATAAACTATTTTATTAAGCAAACATTACTGTGGGTGTTGCATTTTTCCTAGCTCTTATTATTGTTAGAATGAAACGTGTGTTGACCAATCAGAAGCCAGGACCAGAACTCTGCTTTATACATTAAACAAATTCCATTACACACTGAGATCAAATTATAACAACATATTTGCTCTATTACAGGCCAAACTGTAAAAGGCCAAATCTGTAGTGATTTAAAATTAGAGGCAATCGCTGCATTTTAATCATGATCCAAACAAAGATGCTATGAGCATAAATGAGCAATTTTTGATTAGATTGTATCATTTCAAAATTTAAGGCAAAAACAGAATGGTCTTACTTTAGCTTTGTGAAATTATGCTACAGAAAACTATATAACAGCAGAGGGGCTGAATGAGACGCAGATTCACTCTCTGACAGCAGGAGGCGCTTCTGGAACAGCGGCGATGCCGCGTTTCCTTGATTACCGCTGTAAACAAAGCAGCGCTGCGCTTATAAACACTACTTTAATATTCATTATACAGAGACGAGATGAAAAGAAAATACCATCTAATCTTTTCTGAAGCCAGTCAGTTCCTCTCAGAGATATACTGTACATTCATGTAAACCCCTCACCCCCAATCCAATATTTAGGATTTTCTTCCAATATTTAGGATTTTCTTCCAATATTTCGCTCATCGTGAACAGTGAGTTTGCTCTCCCTGCTACAGTATTTTCTCCTCTTTGCTTCCGTCTCTGGCCTTTGTTGGGAATAGCAGCCTTCTCTATATGACTATCGCATAAAGCCATAATGTGATATCAATTTTGTTTCGATATAGGCCTATCATGCAGCCCTAATTAAAATAGCATTAGTTATAAATAAATAAATAAATAAACTTGGCTCGTTTGGGCACCCTAAATAGCATTAGTTATGAATAAATAAATAAACAAACAAACTTGGCTCATTTGGGCACCCTAAATAGCATTAGTTATAAATAAATAAATAAATAAACTTGGCTCGTTTGTTTACCCTAAATAGCATTAGCTATGAATAAATAAATAAACAAACAATCTTGGCTCGTTTGGGCACCCTAAATAGCATTAGTTATAAATAAATAAATAAATAAACTTGGCTCGTTTGGGCACCCTAAATAGCATTAGTTATAAATAAATAAATAAATAAACTTGGCTCGTTTGGGCACCCTAAATAGCATTAGTTATAAATAAATAAATAAATAAATTTGCTCGTTTGGGCACCCTAAATAGCATTAGCTATGAATAAATAAATAAACAAACAATCTTGGCTCGGTTGGGCACGCTAAATAGCATTAGTTATAAATAAATAAATAAATAAACTTGGCTCGTTTGGGCACCCTAAATAGCATTAGTTATGAATAAATAAATAAACAAACAAACTTGGCTCATTTGGGCACCCTAAATAGCATTAGTTATAAATAAATAAATAAATAAACTTGGCTCGTTTGGGCACCCTAAATAGCATTAGTTATAAATAAATAAATAAATAAACTTGGCTCGTTTGGGCACCCTAAATAGCATTAGTTATAAATAAATAAATAAATAAACTTGGCTCGTTTGGGCACCCTAAATAGCATTAGCTATGAATAAATAAATAAACAAACAAACTTGGCTCGTTTGGGCACCCTAAATAGCATTAGCTATGAATAAATAAATAAACAAACAAACTTGGCTCGTTTGGGCACCCTAAATAGCATTAGTTATAAATAAATAAATAAATAAACTTGGCTCGTTTGGGCACCCTAAATAGCATTAGTTATAAATAAATAAATAAATAAACTTGGCTCGTTTGGGCACCCTAAATAGCATTAGTTATAAATAAATAAATAAATAAACTTGGCTCGTTTGGGCACCCTAAATAGCATTAGCTATGAATAAATAAATAAACAAACAAACTTGGCTCGTTTGGGCACCCTAAATAGCATTAGCTATGAATAAATAAATAAACAAACAAACTTGGCTCGTTTGGGCACCCTAAATAGCATTAGCTATGAATAAATAAATAAACAAACAAACTTGGCTCGTTTGGGCACCCTAAATAGCATTAGTTATAAATAAATAAATAAATAAACTTGGCTCGTTTGGGCACCCTAAATAGCATTAGTTATAAATAAATAAATAAATAAACTTGGCTCGTTTGGGCACCCTAAATAGCATTAGTTATAAATAAATAAATAAATAAACTTGGCTCGTTTGGGCACCCTAAATAGCATTAGCTATGAATAAATAAATAAACAAACAAACTTGGCTCGTTTGGGCACCCTAAATAGCATTAGCTATGAATAAATAAATAAACAAACAAACTTGGCTCGTTTGGGCACCCTAAATAGCATTAGCTATGAATAAATAAATAAACAAAATAAATAAATAAATAAATAAATAAATAAATAAACTTGGCTCGTTTGGGCACCCCTATGGATGGATTACCTTATTTACTACTGATTTCAAAAGTGCCCTTTTGTGGTGTCAGGTAAAGGATTTGTTTATATCAAATCATTATCATCACTCATAATCATATTCAAAGCCCAAATCCTTATTATGAGCAATAGTAGAGGGAAAAGGCTGAAGAGTTGATCCTGCATAAAGTTGTTGGTTTGAAGAATTTAGACTGCCTGTAGAAATTAATTTGACAAAAAACTGGGGAAAAAAACTGCACTGATGCTCTCAACTGTGCAGCAGCAGTTTTAGCAGGATCATATAAAGCAAGATATCAGTGCTTGGGTCTGCTGTAATAAGGACCACAGCAGGTTAGGATGTTGTTTTTGCAAACTTTATTCACATTGGCTGCAGTCAATTCAACACTGCCATCCAGTGTTTAAAAAGCAGAAGACAAACTGTATATGCAATATTAAAGGTATTGTAGGGTGAATTCCATTAAAACGGGTCAGGTTTTAGGACTATTAAGATTTTTTTGTGACATTATTTATGTGACATAGCCTATAGCCTATCTATGTATGTATGTATGTGCTGTATGTATGTGTATCTTTCTCTCTCTCTTTCATTTGCTCAGACTATATATATATATATATAGTCTGAGCAAATGAAACAGTGATAAAATGATTTGTTATGCACATGCAGCACATGCAGAAGCAGGCTATAAGAATGTTCACGAATATACGATAAGGAACAGCAGCTTGCTAGTATTAGGGCTACTGTAGCTCCTCCACGCCTGTAGATGGCAGTAACGTGTCGCTGCACCCAGACATTGGCGCACAGGCGTGCTGAACTCATACCTGTTCCACAGGAAGCAGGATTGGACTTAACTATACAACAGGCAGCAAAACGACTTCAGGCTGGGCAACGATACGCTACCACGGAGAAGAAAACTCCATCCACCCCGGGGGAAAGTCGAGAAGGAGGGGAGGCCCTGCAACACCGGAGGTGAGTCCGAGCGGACTTCTGGAGCTCACGGAGGGCTTTTTATGTCTTTTTGACACAGGCCGCGCTGACAGCTAGTTACAGCATATGTGTCCTGCTAGCGACGCGACGCAACTAACTAGAGCGCCCTCGAAGCTGCACGCCGCTGGTTCGCGTGGCTTTCACTCTATAGAATTTTGTTTTTTAAGCGCGTTTCAGTTTGACGCGACGCGTCGCTCGCTCGCACGCAATGTTGATGTTAGCGCTAATGCGCACTTGCTCAGCTCTTTTACCGCATCTCAGGAGAAAGAGTAGCGCGGCTGGAAGTGTTTAAACTCCGTGAGCCGCGAGCACAGAGCGGGCTGATGTTAGCGAAACCTCCGGGGAGCGCGAATCACACGCATGAAGACATCAGGCCCAAATGTCGCTATTTAGCAGCTTCGCTAGCGGACTGACAGATGTGAGAAGTAATAGAGTTTAACCGCTGGGTGACATGTAAACTGTGCATATTCATAAGATTTCTTTATGAACTTTAAACTTTGTTTTCGAGAATAGCAGTTGATGTTCTGGTGTCACGTGTCACACAACAATCTGACCCAAAAATGAAACGTCTGTCATTTTTTTACTCTCCGCGTGCCATTTATGACTAATTCCGTGAGATAGAATGACTAATATCCTAGACTTAGATACAGAAAATTAGGTATTTTTGGACCTTTGCAGCATTGGTCATCATTTATTTCTATAAAGTTTCTCCTTTTTATTTGTTTTATGGGAAAATAACGGGATTTGGGATTGTGGCACAATATGAGGCTGAGTAGTCAATGGCAGAAATTAAATTTTAGCGTTAAGTATCTCTTTAATATGAGACTTGATTATGGACATATTACAGAAAATCCTAACACTTAAGTTCTGTCTTTTCTTAGCTTGAAATGGTCAGATAATAGTTCACCCAAAAATGACAATTCTGTCATTTACTTAACGTTACTCACCCTCATGTCGTTCCCAACTTTTTTGTTCATCATCAAAATGCAAATTAAGATTTTGTTTTTAAAATAGAAATTTCAGTGCATCCATTGAAAGTCAGTTTCACCAAAGCCTTGCTGTCATCATTTCGTTCCAAACTAGGGGTGTGCGATATTGGCACAAAATAATATCTCGATATTTTCTGGGATTTTATCGATGACGATAATTAGACGATATTTTGCTGAGTGTGTTATTGTGCTGGTACCTTAAGGACTGCCGAAGACAGCTGACTCCTAATGTTTTTAATATTCTTCATATTCTGTGTGGTGGTCAGTTCATACTGATAGAAATGAATCTTTTCCAATAAGTTTA